GACCTTGCAAGAAATGAAGCTAAGGCAAGGGAGGCATCTGCCAAAGAGCCACGACGAGGGAGTCGTGGATTGAGTGGAGGAGAATGTCACCAATGAGGCCCACGAGTCTAGAGGGGCTGCTCGAGGTCGGTGGAGGCATTTCGTAGCAAGGACGCGACGAGGGCGTCACGAGAATAGGTGGGGGAGAATGTCACACGTGGCGAGCGACATGGCGAGTGATGTGGCGGATCATAACCAAGTCAGGCACGCGTGGCATTAAGGAAGACCTAGTAGCATAGGATGCTTCTAGGATTCCCATCTTAAACATGAGCTTAATAGTGCACTTTATGAGTCAAATTATGGGTGACATTATGTGGGTGCATTATGGGGGAAATTTAATAGGGTGTAGTAATGGGGAGGGACCATTATGAGGGCATAGATGCCTTGTATGAGGAGGGCCTATAAAAGGAGCACCTCCTCCACATTTTGTAATCATCCATCATTTTTGTAAGCAATACAACTATAGAGTTTCTCTCATCTTCTTGTGTCTTCTTCTTGTGAGTTGAGTAAGTTTGAGAGCTTGTGAGAAGACTGCCTAGCATCTCTAACGGAATTGAGAGCTAGGGTCGCACGACCAAGAGTAAGGCCGTGACAGTGGCGGGTGGCGGCCAGGGCAGGGTAGGCTATGCTAGGATTAGTTGTTACGATTCGGTTAAGGCATTTTCCCGTTTATTCTGTGGTAAATCATAAAATTGTTGAAATCCAAAATAATATATCTGGGAAACGGTGTGATCTGGTTTAGATTAGATCATATATTGGTTTATGGTTCATACCAAGAGACTAGAGTATAGATTAGAGATCAGACCACATACTATATGATATAAACCATATCACACATGTACGATATGGTCCAGATAGACCACATTGAACGAAAAATGAAAAAAATTCTAGTCAACCACACGAAAGATTGAACAGATAACAAAGAAAAGAGAGTTGTTAGCGTTAAAATAATAATTTCAACATGCTTGAATAAATTTGACCCTCTAAATCTTAGTAAATAACAAAAATACAAAGTCAAAGCATCCCAACTTGTACTATAACATTATAAACATTAAAATAATGTCATATAGAGATACGATAGTCTCCACTCTTTCATAAAATGTGGTTGTGAACGAAGGAGGGGAAGAGATTCTCAAAATTAGGGTTAAGACTTGGGCCTCGTTGGGGGAGTTGAGAGATTGTTCGAGTGGGTTGCTAACACATATTGTGAAGTCAACTTGGTCCACGATTTGGTTCGGTAAACCGCACTCTGGACCAGACCAGAACAGACCAAGGAATCAAAACATCATATAATATAGATCATGGACCATACTAAACCATTTTAAAGGTCTATATGATTCGAACTAAACTGTATGGTCCGATTTGGTTCACAGTATTTCAAACAATCTAATCTATTTTCCTCACCTACAAAATAATCTTAGTTTTGCAACACATATGCTGGTTTGGAATTAACCAAACCCCATAAAATTCAATTTTGATTTAACCCTCAAATCAAAGCGAACCTCCCGCCTTGACATTATATTGTTAATTGTATATCTTGACTTGCTCATTTGTGAAAAGAAATCACTCGCTTTCGGAGTGTGTATAATTTTTGTTAACTATTGAAGTTTTGGTGAGTAATTTGACCAAATGGTAGAATGTTCATATTTAGACTTGATCACTTGATTTTGACTATTACATAGTCTTGAAGGGATTAGAATCAATTAGGTGAGGTATTCACATCTATAATTTGAGTATTGTATACACTATTAGTATAAATTGCATATGATAAACTTGTGATAGCAAACTTGTAAAAAAATAATTGGTGTTCTTGAGCCTATTTAAATTTCACCTTAATTGTTATTTGAATAAGTAGAATTTGTGTTTCCTTCCGGTGGGAATATCCATTGTATTATTTGTATCCAAAGAGTTTAAAAAATCTGAGGATCTCAAAAACTAGATAAAGATATAGGAACACATTTCAAATGAAATGCAATCGTTTGTGTAAGTCAAGAGTCCATTTCTATCGATTAAGTTTTTTGGATTAGCCAGTTCTCCCTTTTTTTTTTTTTATATCGATGGAGCAGTTAACCTCAATCCATGGATGAAATTATAGCGAGAATTAATAAGGTTCCGTTGAAAACATCAAGTTTGATTGCAGTTTTGATATTTGTGTGAAAAATATCGGAAGTTGTACAGGAAAAGTCAACAATAAAATATTTTATTTTGAAATTGTGGTTCAACAGTTTCATATACCTACCAATTTCGCTTTTGATAGGAAATTTTCTCAATCGGACCACCAACACGATACGATTTTACAATCATTGACAAAAAGAGTAGTTAGAGGAGTAAAGTAGTTGTATAAGATGGAACAAGGGACTGATTTGCATAGATAGACGACACAATAATGGGCGGAGAGAAAGAAAGAAATGGCAGTGTTCTTCAAGAAAGGGCGGGTGGTGGGCAGGGGCTCCGGTAACGAGGCGGTGAGGGAGTAAAGGTTGGGTGACAGCACCAATGTAAAACCATGAAATGTTTTCTAGGTGTGGTGTGTGGGACCCCTTGGATGTGGATGTGGATGTGGATGTGGAAGGTGACCAATTTCCGTCGTGGGAGGAAATTGGACGGTTGGGAATGACGGTTTGGATTTAAAATTCATTTATTAATATCGCTATTCGCCATTCTAAAATTTAAATTTTATTACTCTAAAATATAATAAATTAACATATTTATCCCTTAACTTAATTTCAATTCTAAACCCTAACCAAACAATTTCTAATCCCTTCCTCACCACAATCCAAATTCGTCGCCGGTCAAATCGAAGAAGGTGCCGCCTGCTCGCCTCCTTAGCACAAAACAGTCACTCAAGTTTAATTTTGTACGTTTTAATGAAACACGTTTGGACGAATAACAAAACACTCATTTCGTCCATCTCCATTCGAAAATCCTTTAAATCAGTACAATCAGCACATCACGTCTAGAGGTGTCAATCGGGCGGGTTCGGGCTGGGTTCATTCGGGTTGCGGGTTGGTCGCGTTCGGGTTGCGGGTTACTCGGGTTACGGGTCACTCGACTTGCGGGTCAATCGGGTTACGAGTCATTCGGGTTGCGAGCCAATCAGGTTGTGGCCCAATCAGGTTACGGATCAATCGGGTGCGGGTCAATTGGGTTGCGGGTCAGGCGGTTCGGGTTACGGGTTTTCGGGACCAGAACATCGCGTTAGTTTTTAGTGATTACTAGTAAGTCGTAAATCGTAACTATATGAAGCTAGCACAATACTTGTAAAAAAAAAGGAATCACTACTCCCAGCGGCGGCGTCGCGGTCTCCAGCGGCGGAGGGGGTCGCGGTCTCCAGCGGCGGCGTCGTCTCCAACAAGTGCAAACCCTAATTATAAACTGGAGTTTAGAATTTCGGGGACAGGGAAGAAGGAGAAAGGGGGATAAACATATATAATTTATTATTTTTTTATTATTTACGTGGCATTCCACGTGTACGTTTTGCTGATGTGTCAATGATGTGTATGTCGGTTTTCGTCCTCGTCAGCGTTCCGTCAAACGATTTAACGGAGTCGCAGACGGTGTTAAAGTTTCTAACGGATTTGGCTAGATTTGTCATACTACCCTCAGTTTTTTGGGCTATTTGTGGTTTTCGAATAGAAATGGATATATTTGTCAAAAGTGTGAAAGTTATGGCTATACAGGTGTATTTTGCCTAGATTTAATTGCTATAACAATTTTTTATTACCATAATAATAGTATAATAATAGTATAAGTATGTAAAAATAAAATGAAGAAACAAATTGTTAAAAAAACCTCCCTCAACGAATAAATCAAAAGTAGTATAAAAAAATTAAAAAAGATGGAAAGACACTTTTAGCCTTCCGTGAGATAAAGCGGAGGCTTCAATTTTGGTTTTAACCCACTCATCATGGTGAATCTCTATATATTAGTGTGTAGGATAGGATTGGATTGGATTCAATTCCCTTGTTTTCCCCATTAATTCTGCAGGCGCCGGAGGTTTCCGGCGAGCTACTGACCACTCTCCCTATGAAGTACTAAAAAAAACCATAAACTAGAAATGTCAGCTCTTTGTGAACGACACTGATATCCCCTTTCATCTTAAAGTTTTAGAATATCATGCTGGTAAGCTCATCAAGCTCATGCTTCCATTCCCAATTCGGTCCACAACTATTCTCTGAGGACCCGAAACCAGGTAAACTAAATTCCTCAATGCTACATTCTTCAATGCAACTTCCCTAAATCCAACAGCCAACCGTCTCTCTTTCTTCCCAAGCCCCATACACCAAATTGGTACAATCAAACATTTCAAAATACCAAGATTTCAAAAATTTAGCCAAAATCCAGGAGAGTGGTCAGCAACTCGCCGGAGTCCCTCGGCGCCTGCTGAAATTCAGCAGGAGAAAACCAGGGAATGGAATCGAATGAAAAGGACAGACGAAATAGCCAAAGTTCTCAACTTTATTACCGATCACTATTCTTACCGAAGTGAACAAGAGAGACATCTTGCCTGAGTTACAACTCAACACCGCACAGGTTATCGCCGGTGAATCGATCTTCCGAGAGCCCAAGCTTGTAGATGCCTTTCTTTCTTGATGGTACTGAGTTAACGGATTTTTTTTTATGGAGATGGACGGAAAAACCTTTTTATTATTCGTCCAAACATGTTTTATTTAAACGGGTAAAATTAAATTTTAGTGATTGTGTTATACTAATTGATGGGTTTTGTGAGCATTTATGATAATTATCCAGAAAACAGAGGAAACAGAGCACGCATAAAACTCTCCTGCTTTTCTGACTTCTCACTTGTTAACCTCCCAATCCTCTGGTTTCTTAAGCACCATACTGAAATAAAGCTTCAACCTTTTGCACTTTCTCCCCTCTAACTTATGCTAGTAGTTAGAAAAGAAAAAGAAATAACACAGATTTCCTACTGCATCAACATAGTTTTCTACTAACCTAAACTAGCTGCAGGTCAGGACAAAGAGTGCACATCCGTGCTTCTCCACTACCATCTCCAATGGATCCCCCACAGCTTCATAACGCTGCCCGCTCCAAACTTCTCGGCCTTTACAAGCAGCTTTATGTTCCAGGTTTCTCCCTGGAAGCACCTTGGCCATGTCTGATAACTTGGCCGAGATCAATGTCTTCTCAACATTGAGGTTGAAGAAAGCAACATAGATTTCTCCTCGTCTTCCCGTCGCAATCCAGGATCGTACCCCACTGATCCTGACATCATTAGCTATATGAACAGAACATCAGAAACAGTAACAAGTTTGCAATTTCAGACCAGTCACTGAAAATCCTAACTTGTACTTCGTATATATTATTTCCATCACATTTTCCCTCAAAATTGACTATTTTATGCAAACTCAACCAAATTAACGATATTTTTATATGAATAAACGCTAATTTGCATATATGGACGATAACTCATACTGATCAGACTTCGCCTAATTTCAACCAACATTATCTTAACCACTCTCGTCCCTTCGTTCTTCTATACGGATATTCGACATGCTGATCTCGACAATTTGGATGAAAAACTTGATGAAATGAGTATTATCTTATTTTCTTAAAGGTTTAGTGACAAGTTTGTGGTGACCGATCTGTTAGCATCCAGGGCTGAGTCGTTGATAATGCAATTGACCATTACCTTTAACTTGTTTTACCCTGACGCATAGGCCAGAGTAACTGCTCCTGAGAGTAGCATTGCTGCTCAACTTCCACATCTGTTGGCAAAAGTTGTTCAAGCTCTTAATTAATTGCAGCAATAACCAGAGAATTTTGTTTGACAATCAATACGAGGAGAAGAAGAGAAAAGGCAGTATATATATACCTGATTGGCATCCCCTTTGCAGGTTGAGAATGAGGGCTGCTTTTTCTTCCACTCTCTGGAAGTAATTTTGTGTCTTGGAGAAGCATCCAAGCAAGACTTCACTCCGTCATCACTCGTGAACAATTGGCGGCTATCTTGGCCATAAAGCACATGATCATTGCTGCATATTTGACAAATTTGAGCTCTAACTATCAGGAAGATAAACATAATGCCATGGTAAATGACGATGAATATGCAAAATGGAGCACTTACGTTGAAGCCAAGAGAGGTTTCCTCTTGTATAGGCATAACGGTTCCTGGTTTAGCTGCTCTCCCTCCTCCCTCCAGCAGATCTGTTCATGGTACTGGTCAAGAGATTCAACCGACCAACCATTTGCATTGGGATCCTTGCAACTCGTTAGACCTACACCCCAGGCATGATGATGATCACTGCCTCGATTCAACATAGATATCCTTGATTGCCTTGTGAGATGGCTCATTGTTGGACCCAGTATCTTCCCAGTAACATAAGGGAACTGCATATGCAAGCATGCCACTTCATCAATAAAAACACAAACTTTTAAGTTTAATTCATTACAGTCTCAAAGAGAGCAAGCAAGAAACTTTCACATGCCTCCATATTGTTGGAGCTATAATCATTTATCTCCAGCAAAGTAGGATTAGTGATCAATTTGTAAGTTGTCATATCAATCTTTCTAACGTCTCCTCCAAACATGAGCGGAGACCTTGCCATCGACCACAAAGTCATCTGTGAAGGAAACAAAGCAAAAGGCTCATCATATCGTGTTCCATTGGAATGAATAAATGGTCAATTTGTTGTCCACCACCATTCGCATACTTGCTTACCTGAGTTCTTTGCTCATCAAGGGTAAGGTTGCATTGCCTATGAGGCCCTCTATTGACTCCTGGAATTAAAATACTCATATTAAGGAACCAACGTCTTATGTATAGTAAAATCAAAACTCTCCGAAACAAGATCTCACAACATATTTTACCTTGATCAGTAAGCCACCCTAAGGGCAGCATATCCAAATCGGGCCATGAATTTCCAAGCAAGCCCTCACCTGGGACCATTTCTGCCTTAGCAAAGTCCCTAAAGCATTAGAGCACAATTAGCCAATGTAACCAATAAGAATATCCAAAGACAATCATGTATTAAGTCTTTTAACACACCTTGCAACATCAAAATGTGAAGCCACATCTGCCCACGAATCCCAATCATCTGCGGTTACTCTGTACATGTTTGCCAATCCCTTGAGCTCTTTAGCCATTGTTGGCGTGACAGAAGTTCCAGGGGAGAGCGAGTATAAGATTGGTCGATTGAGCTTCTTCAGCACCCTCGAGACATATGTTATCTCTTCTAAGTTGAAGTCAGCACCAAATACGCAATCATGCTTAACTACAAAAAGAAGAGATAATTATATGTTTTCTCAGAACATGAAAGACCCACCACTTGGGTATGAAATGAATGAAACGTTCACAGACTGATAGAAACTTACGTTTTAGTACTTTGATTATTTGTCGGTTTATTATTATTCGGATTATAGGGACTATTCGGGAATAATTGATATATTGGGTAGTAGTAGGGAATTAGCCTTTTCTATATAAACTACTTGTAAGTTAGGATTAGGGTTAAGAAAAGAATTAATCAAAAAACCTAAAGTTCCTAATCCCTCTTTCTCTCACTCTCCCTCTGCCGACCCCCACTTTTCCCTCTCTCTTCTCTTGCTGCGTGCAGCAGCCTTCCCATCTTCTTCTTCTTCTTGCTGCTGGCGGCAGCAGCCCCATCCCCCCCTTTTACTTCCTCAATTCTCCAAATCAATCCCCTTTTCATCACCCAATCCCCCGGATCAATCCCTAGTTGATCCTAATCCCTAATTCGTAGGTAGAGCTCATCTTGAGTTCTATCATTTGGTATCAGAGCCTGGTTCTTGATTTCTGAGCACAGAAGAACGTCGATCAAGATGGTGGCAACGAAATCAAAAGCTGCAGCTGAAAAGGCCGCGAAGGCGGCGCAGGAGGCGGAGATCGCGGCGACCTGACCCCTGTCCACCGGCGATGGCGCGCTCGAGTTTCCCGGTCCACGAGATGGAGAAATGGTGGACGAGACGCTGGGAGAGGAGCTCCGTTCGGAGATGACCAAAATGGCGGAGGCCATGGAGCAGGAGCGCCGATCTCGTCTGAAGGGCGAGCGAACTAGGGAGATGGAGGCGCGAGCCCGCGAGGTGGAAACGCAGAAGGTGTGGCTCGCCATCGGCGAGCTGAAGGCCATGTTGGCCGAGGCTCTGGGGCGAGCAGGTGGAGGCAGTCGCACCGCGGGAGACCCGGGCGCGCTGGTGGTCGCCGCGGCGGGTGGGTCGAACCTGGGGGGAGCGGCCGGCGGAGGCAGCACGGCGGCAGGGGCCGCAGCGGGCAGGGGCGGCGCGATTCCGGAGGGAGGACGGACGGCGGCCACCGACCCCGACGTGGGTCTCGAGGCGGCTGGGCAAGATCCGGCGGCGCTGACGACGGCCGGGACCGGGCCGAAAGCTGGAGGAGGCGGGTCGGGGATCGGGCCAACGCAGATTGGGCTAGGTATGGGCCCGGGTCTGCTACCGACGCCTACGGCCCAAGAGATTGCAGCCCGGAAGGGAAAAGCCAAGATGCCCGGTTATGAGATTGACGGGCCTCTCATGAACCGTGAACCGGACCTGGTGGGCCAATATACACAGATCCATAATGGTCTGGGCTGGTTGGGATTGGAGGACGGGCCCGATGGTGATGAGCTTAGCCTGGCGGACCAACCGGTCAAGTGGGCTGAACCGGAGGTGGATCAGAGGGGGCCGAGCGGGCTGAGAAGGGCCACCGAACCGGGGGGCGGACAGGAATCGGTCGGGCAGCTGCTGACCGAGCCGAGATGAGTCGAACTGGGCCGGGTCGGGCCTGCATGGGACCCACCGGAGGACCAGTCATCGCCCGAGTCCGACTGCTCAGCATCACAGGAGGGTGGACAGCAGGGAATTAGACAGTTGGGAGGGTCCATACGGGGTGCCTCCTGCGCCAGGAGGGTACCCGAACTTGACAGGCAGCTATCCGGGTGACTATGGCCAGGGAATCCGAACCGGATGTCGGGCTCTTCTTTTGGGCAGCCGTGGAGGACTCCAGGAAATGACAGGTATGGGTCTCACTGCATGAACTATGAGGGCATGGATGGTGTAGTCTTTCGAGCTAAGCCTCCGACGATTGAGTTTCCTAAATTCAATGGGCAAGAGGATGCAAGTTTATGGTTGTATGCAGTTGAGAGGTGGTTCAGAAATCACCCGATTCCGGAGGAGAGGAAGGCCTATCTAGCATCCTTCTATTTGGAGGGAGATGCACTGCAGTGGTGGGAATGGATGGAGCGGTCGTACGCAGCTGCCTCCACTCTGATCACTTGGCCTATGTTCCAGGAAGAGCTTCGCTACCAGTTTGGGAAGTCAGACGGGTGGGCCCCCGAGCAGTTGGCCAAACTGAAGCAGACTGGCACGGTGGCTGAGTACCGTGCAGAGTTCTTCAAGTTGGGGAACCAGTGTAAAGGGGTCTCAGAGGACACCTTAGTTGGGCTGTGCATGGCAGGTCTGAAGCCCGAGATAGCGGCGGCAGTCAGGGTGTTCCTGAAGGCGGCTTTCCGTCTTGCAGGTCATAAAGAGGAGGAGCTGGCCAGCTGGAGGAGTGTCATTGGCCGTTTTCCGAAGTCAAGGGGCGGTGGAGGCAGTAGCGGGAGTAGTGGAGGCGCGGGAGGAGCGACCGGGGGAGGCACGACCGGGGCTAACCTCGGCAATGGAGGATCTGCTCCTGTGGCCAGGATGGGACCGCGGGCCATACCAAAAGGGTTCGTGCGACTATCACCAGCCGAAATAGAGCAGAAGAGGCGGGAGGGCAAGTGCTTCAACTGTGATGGTCGGTTCACTATCGGGCACCAGTGCCCGAAGCCGGACTTGATGATGCTAGTTGGACGCTGGGAAGATGAAGCAGAAGATGAGGCCGAGGCAGTCGGAAATGGCGAGGAGGAGATCTAGTGAGCTAGAGGAACAACCTTGGGGACAAGGTTGTTTTTCGAATGAAGCGGGGATGATAGAAACTTACGTTTTAGTACTTTGATTATTTGTCGGTTTATTATTATTCGGATTATAGGGACTATTCGGGAATAATTGATAGATTGGGTAGTAGTAGGGAATTAGCGTTTTCTATATAAACTACTTGTAAGTTAGGATTAGGGTTAAGAAAAGAATTAATCAAAAAAGCCTAAAGTTCCTAATCCCTCTTTCTCTCACTCTCCCTCTGCCGACCCCCACTTTTCCCTCTCTCTTCCCTTGCTGCGTGCAGCAGCCTTCCCATCTTCTTCTTCTTCTTGCTGCTGGCGGCAGCAGCCCCTTCCCCCCTTTTACTTCCTCAATTCCCCAAATCAATCCCCTTTTCATCACCCAATCCCCCGGATCAATCCCTAGTTGATCCTAATCCCTAATTCGCAGGTAGAGCTCATCTTGAGTTCTATCACAGACTTACTGAAATCAACACCCCACTCGGCATACTGGTGATAGAGTGAGCTCAAGAAGGCTCTTCCAGCAGGCAATGAAGTGTTAACACTCATGAAACCATGTGGCATCCATGCACAACTCCTCTCCTTGATCCCTATGTCTTGAGCCCTCCATTCTCGACCGGATTCTTTGTAAGCACGCCCCTAATCAAAATCAAAGGCGCAGCCATGAAAACCAATGAACTCCACAGAAGTGGAAAAGAGGAGCATGTAAGTACCGTGGTAATGTCCAATATAGGGGTGTTAGCATCAAATGCTTGTCGGCTCAATCCTCTCATGACATGGATTCCAAACTTGAGACCCAAACTATGGACTTCCTTGGCAACTTCAGTGAACCCTTTCCCTAACTTGGCAGAAGGCCATCGATCCGGAGCAGGAACCATTCTCCCCCATTGGTCGATCACATCGAACCCAAGAGACTCAACGTAGGCGCCTGGAACTAGTCTTCTGTACCAAAGGTAATCCACCACCACATACTGAAACAAACAGAAAATGGAAAGAGTTTTCAGTAATGGGGAAGCCCTCGGATTAGAAAGTTTCTTGGTTGTAACTTAAAATCCTACAGTATACCTCATATCCATGAGATTTTAGATACTTTGCAACAACTTTAGCACTCGTCAAGAAGTCATCCTCAGAAATCGTCCAACAGAAGGAATCGTACGAGTTCCAACCTCTTGGTGGCAACTTAAGTCGGTCAACACCAGCAGACGATGAAACCCTGCAATTTTCAAAAATCAAGGTCTCGTAAAGCTAAAAGAATCTGAAACTTGCTAAGCAGAACCGAATCTGAAAGTAACCAACTTTTTCTTCAACTTCCCAGAACCCAGAACCCCAAAAAGTTCAGAACTTCGAAGTTCAATCCTTGTGGGTTCATCGTCAATGGCCAAAAGAAAAATGCAAGCATCTAACAGTAAAATTAGAGAGTAATAGAGAAAAGCTCCTAACTTAACCAAGAAACTCGTACCTGGGAAGATGGAAACAGAAGAGGAGAGACAGTGAGCAGCAGAGGAAGAAGAAGAAGAGGGAAGTCTTCATTGAATCTGTTCTATCGCAGCTGCTGCCGCTCTCTCTGCTTTCTTCCTTCTTCTCTTATAAATGGAGTGTCAAAAGTTAAGAACACGGACAAGACGAGGAACAAGGACTTTATCCAGTTTAATCTATCTTCGGCTGTTAGTTTTGAGAGTGACGCGACCCAAAAGAAAAGAAGATGGAAATGGGAGATTATCAATGCTGCACGACCCTTTCACCTATTGCAGAAAGACCCAAAAGAGGGAAAAGACAGATGGGGAAACTGGGAATTGTTGTGTTCTGTACTTTGGGTCTCTCATGTCGACACTTCATCTTTCTTTGTTGAACAAGAGGTTTCCTTTCTGAGTAGGAAGTAATTGAACTGGAACATCATCGTAGAACAGAGATTCCTATAAGCAAGGTGATATCGACTGATTTTAGAGTGTAAGCAACAGTTTTGCTTGCGAAAGATGAAGAGCCTGTGACGACACCAATGGCTGGCCTGGCTATGGCTTTGGCTTTCCCTTTTTTTAACGTCAGCGGATTTTTCCTATGTTTCCGAATCACATTTTGTGGGTTGTGGCGTTGTGCTGCGGATAAACCGCTTTAGTTTTTGTCCACGTACGTAATGCGCTTTCTTCTGCCAACCCAACTGATATAACTGCCTGCAGTTAACAGATATCACCTTCTTACTTACCGTGAAGTCAGTCCTTTTTTTTTATCGGAACTTGTAGTCAGCTTTTATGGATTTGAAATTGTCACATCATCAAGTTTAAGCTGATCAATCAGATTTAGCAGAGGCCTATCAAACCAAACATCCGCTATATCCCACAGAGTATTCGTATGCGCCATGATATGCGCAACTTCATTAGCCTTTCGACTAACATATTGTAATGTCCCACCACCGATCTCCTCCAATAACTTCCTGATGTTCCTGCAAATCACCCCGAGCTCCGTCTGTATTTCTGAAGAGCGCCTGACACCCGTTATCACGTTCAAACAATCTGATTCCAGTAGTCTCTCTTGACCTTAACACCACATACAGTATGGAAGTGATGAGTAATTGAGTAGTGACATTAGGGAACTTGGTTCAGACTTTAGATTGGAGATAGGGGAAGTTGGGAATTCTGTAATTTACACAGTATGAAAGGTTAGTACATGAAACTGAAGGTAAAAACATGTTATACTGTCTCTAGTCTTTGTTTGAAACATTGAATACAGACTGTTCCATCAACTTTGTTAAACCCGATTCATTTTCAAGGCACGGCCTTACACAGGAGGAGGCTTGCCTGTGAGAGAATACTAACTATTATGAGACACTGCAACTGAGACCAAAAGAACTTACAACAGATGGTGCAGCCTCCCTCACCTCCTCATCTTCAGTTATGCTTACTCGCTCTCCCGTGTTCAATGGCTCCCACTGTTTAACCTTTCATGCAAAATCAGTCTTTTGGGTAGGAAGAAATTTTTTTGTCTAAGCTTTACACATGCATGGGGTCAGAGGATTCTCCCAGAGGTCATAGTTGGGGAAAGTCTCCTCCGGCAACCCAGTTCTCGTCTGATGAGTCACCACCACGTCCTCCACGAACGTTGCCCATCCCATGTATGGATCCCCAAAGGATTTCGACATGAGCCCCTTGTCTGGCTTTATGGACTTCTGACGGTGGCCCATGTACCTACGCGCTCCGATGATCAGCTTGGCGAAGTTGCCACCGTGAGTCATGACAAATACGTCGGACTTCAAGCACACCAAGAAGTCAAGAGCTGCCAGGCTTGTCACGTGTTTCCTAAAACTCGTCAACTCGTCACTAACAGCTAGCTCCTCCTTCGTCACCTGAACATTATGCCAAGACAAAAATTAGGGGTCGTTTGATGACAATGTATTATAGAATACATGGACTAAGAAATCATGTTTTTTTCTAATAGATTGTAAGAATGCATGTCATGCCAGAATAGTGTTTAGTTAGTAGGGATGGTAACGGTGGCCACAGACCGTCGAATGCATTGCGGTCCCAAATATGTCTAAGATTAGAAGCGATCACATAGTCTAGAAATACATGGTTTACATAACAGATTCGGACAAGAAGAATGGTACTTAAAAAAACATGCATTTTCAAGATAATAGAGACCAATCCTTCATTACCAACCGACTCCATAAGCATTTCAGTTTCACATGGGTTCTTGGGTGACAGATAGGAAGACTTACCAGATTCGGGAACATGTTTCTGAGTGGAGCCATTCGGTTTTGTCCGCCATAGACCTGCCCAGAAGCTACATATATTTGAGTTTCCTTCGGATAACCCATTGCTCGAAGTATCACTGCTACTTCGCCTGGTTCAAGGGGGCACCGTCCTTCCTTTCTCTTCTGAAGAGCCAGTTGCCATAAATGGGAACCATTCTGCAATACGCACCCTCGATTAGTCGATTATATCTCAATGATCTTCAAGGGTCCCCTAAAAAAGGAAACAAATAGAGGAGAAAGATTACAGCACACCTTAAAACGCCTAGGCCATTCTTTCTTCCTATACTCAGCCATCTTAACTTTCTCATCTCTCGTCCCCACAAAATCACAAAAGGATAAACCGACCATCCCTTTCTCAAATCTAAGATGGAGAGCCCTGTGTTTTACAAGCAATCAAAAAGCACATAAATTTGGGTTAGAACAGATGCAACTTTCCTAGCAGAGTTTCAGTTAAGTAAACATAAAAGAAACCGACATTTGACGTACATATACGGATTTGGACTTCCTGTGCGGTTCCTCATCCTTGAAACTAACAGATCAGCCATCTGCTCTATATGTGGGAGAAATTTCAGTGCGTGATAATTAACCCTGCACCTCAGCCTGTTGATTTCTTGAGGCACATTATCATACCTAGAAGCAAGTACAAAGACGACAAAGCAACAAAATTAGAGTTGAGTTTGAGAAGGAGAGAGTTTTACAAGAGCAGTATGACATTTAATTTAATCATTGCTTACCCAAGTCGATCAACAAATGGCTTCAGTGACATTATCTTCTTCTCCTTGATCCGAGGCAAGACATTATCAATGTAGAACTGGGCTGGTGCATATTTTGGAATATTCTTCACTGTCCGCCTATAATGAGAAGTCACATGATCAGTCCCAACTTCACCAATCTAGTCATCCAATGCAATATGCGTTCTTCAATTATCATGTACCTTATGCTTGTGAACAACTCATTTTTGTCCGTAAACCACTCAGGTATGTCACGAACAATGCGCACGTCATCCTTCAAATAATCAATGAAATGATCAACATCAAAAATGTCTTCAAATTTCCTGCAGATGGTTTGAGGAGACAGTGTTATAAGGATCACCAATCTGGCAATCTTACAGTTCACCAGTTTGGAACAATTGGAAAAAGAAGTCACATACTTGATAAGAGAATATCAAAATAATTGATTTGGCAATTTATGCACAAGAATGTGGTCCATGAAACTTACGTCTGGTCTTTCCAGATCTGATCCTGCTTCAATACGGGCAAAATCAGAGTGGCGTTCATTATTTTTGCTACAGCCACTGCATTGCATATCTGCACCCAACAATATTAATGTTGAACTTAGCCATTCTGAAGTTTGTTAAATTTGGATAATAAGCATAGGTTTTGAAACTCATCAAAGTAACTGCATTCTAGATCATAGTTACTAAGCATCCAGCCAGCATCACTTTCAAAGACAGTATCTCACAAATGCAAAGGCAATCAATGCAATTATAAGATCAATCTGAAAACCAGCTTTGTCAACTCAATCGCATTACTGTGCCACAAATATACAGGGACAAGAAGGGGCAGAAGGAAAGAAGATCTTCATAAAGGAAGAACATGGTTGAAATGATGACACAGATTTCCTCAGGAAAGATGGTGATTTTCAAAAAAAAAAAAAACATTGAGAAAAGGAAAAGAAAAAATATATATATCAACTTCCAATCTGTGTAGAAATCAAGATGTTGCACATATAATATTTCAAGGAATAGATTTGTACAGCAATTCTTTGCTGGTTCAAGCCACCCTCAGCATGGATGAAGATATAACCGTTTGTTTCATTCTCACGAGGAACATCTGCAAAGAAAAGTGGAGTTCCAAAGTCAACAAAATGGAATAAGAACCTACACGATATAACACCCTTGAAAAGCCAATCCATAGGCACATGACAGCAGTTAGCACAAACTCTACCGTTTCCAAAGACACAATGCTAAACATGTTACAGAAAATTCACAATCATCCAGCTACCAGCTTTCTTCCTTAGGCAAACAAGTCACATATTCGATCTCAGAGCTGTCCTATACATGGAATAGCAACAGAATCTTTCTTTCCCCAATAACAAGAATCATGCCCCCAAAGATTTTAATTTGATGGCATACCTCATCTTATAAAATAAGGCCGACCTAACCAACCCAGAAACACAGTTGAATGAAACACAAATCACCTGAATTTCCACCATCACGACGCTCAGCACAAGGCTTCCAAGAAGTTGTTGCGGATAAGGGATTTTCCCAGAGGGAAGAAGACTCCTTGACCTGAAAAATGAAACCATGAAATGGAAATTGAATACAACTCCAAGACCATATAATAGAGAATTCCCAAAAGTTTCATCCTTTGAACAATGCAGCTTACATGTGGGCAATGGAGCACAATGCCATCCTTTTTACACAAGTAAGGAGCATTCTACAAAACAAAAATGAAAAATTCCCAATAACCATAAGCAAAACTGACAACCATTTAACTGAGCAATGGACACGGATTCAGCCAAAGTAAAACTTACCAAGCGGTGGAAGATTGAGAAGATGGAGATCAATCCGGCGAAAGCGACGACGCCGATCAGAATCATGGAGATCCTGGAGTTCTGAGACGAAAACCTAGGGTCGTCGCTTAGAAATGGGACAAGATTGGACCAGAAGGGACGGTCGCGATCCCTGGCGAAATGGTGGCGGCGACCGTCGTCATCGTCGTCGTCTTTGACGGCCGCAGGGGGTTTGTCGTGGTGGAGGAGGAGAGGGGAAGCGTCCTTCTCT